GCTCAGCCTGTAACCCCACGCTTTGGGAGGCCAGGGTGAGTGGATTGCCTGAGCCCGTGGGTTCGAGATCCCCCTGGGCAACTTGGTGAGACCTCATCTCTGCAATAAAAATTAAAAAATTAGCTGGGCGTGGCAGCGCGCACCTGTAGTTCCGGCTACTTGGAAGGCTGAGGCTGAAGGATTGCCGGAGCCCAGCAGGTCTAGGCTGCGGTGGCCGGGAGCGGCCACTGCACTCCAGTCTGGGTGACGAAGTGAGACTCCAACTCAAAAAAAAAAAAAGTTTAGTCCACTTATGTTTGTTGTGATTATTGACAGATTTGCTCTTGTTTCTCTTATTCCGTTTCTATCTCTATTTTTTTTATGCTTTTTTTCTCCCTTTTTTGTCCTTCCTTTGGGAATTGAGCATTTGCTTGTTTTGATTTTATTTGATCTCCTTTATTAATTTGGAAGTTGCTACTCTAGTTATTTTCCTTTAGTGATTACTATTGACATTTCATTTGCATACTTAACAAAATCTAACATTATCTTAATCTCCAACAGTAAAAGAGCCTTTAGAACATTTAACTTCAGTCATCCCCTCTTTACTTATAGGCAGTTGTCTAATCTTTTTTTTTGAGTTGGAGTCTCACTCTGTCACCCAGGCTAGAGTGCAGTGGCATGCTGATGGCCACTCCAGTGTCAACCTGCTGGACTCTGCAATCCTTCTACCTCAGCCTTCCAAGTAGTCGGAACTATAGACACGCGCTACCAAGCACGGCTAATTTTTTATTTTATTGTAGAGATGAGGTCTCTCGCCAAGTTGCCTGGGCTGGCCTCGCCTCCCAAAGTGCTGGGATTATAGGCTAAGCCACCGAGCCCGGGCTTTTTTTTTTATAATTATTTTTTTTTTTAGAGATGAAGTCTTGCTGTGTTGTCCAGGCTGGCCTCAGACTCCTGGGATCAAGCCAGTCTCCCACCTCAGCCTCCCAAATAGCTGGTAGTACAGGTGCTTTCCACCCTACTTAGCTGTTCTCTCTCTTTCTTTTTTTTTTTTTGAGTTGGAGTCCCACTGTGTCACCCAGGCTGGAGTATAGTGGGACGATCATGGCCACTGCAGCCTCAACCTGCTGGGCTCAGGCTATCCTACCACCTCAGCCTTCCGAGTAGCTGATGCTACAGGCATGTGCCACCACACCTGGATTTTTTTTTTTTTTTTTAATTGTAGAAACGAAGTCTCACTATGTTGCCCAGGCTGTTCTCCAAACCCTGGGCTCAGGCACTTCTCTCGCCTCCACCTCCGGAAGTGCTGTGATTACAGATGTGAGCCACCATGCTCCACTAATTTTTTTATTTATTGTAGAGACAAAGTCTTACTATGTTGCCAGGCTGATTTTGAACTCCTGCGTTCAGGCAGTCCTTTCTCCTTGATCTCCCAAAGTGCTGGGATTACAAGTGTGAGCCACTGTGCCCAGCCACTCTCTCTTTTTTTTTAACTCCATAAATTTGTCATTATGAATTTTCATACAGACTCTTTATTTATTTATGAGTTTTACTCTGTCGCCCAGACTGGAGTGCAGTGGCATGATCATGGCTACCACAGCCTTGACTTTCTGGGCTTAGGCGATCATTCTGCCTCAGCCTCCCAAGTATCTGGGACTACAAGCGTATGCCATCACACCTGGCTAATTTTTTGATTTGTTGTAGAGATGAGGTCTTGCCAAGTTGCCTAGATTGGTTACAAGCCCTTGGGCTCAGGCAATCCTCTTGCCTTTGCCCCCCAAGTGCTTGGATTGTAGGCATGAGCTACCATGCCTGACTACAGGCAATATTTAGACTTATCATCATGTTTACTAGTTTACTTGCTCACTAGTCTTTATATCTAAGCTTTCTTCTGGGATTGTTGCCTACCTGAAACGTGTCCTTCAGCTGTCCTGTTCATTTTCTCTGGTTCTCCTAGGGACTATTTTATATATCCTTCTGTCTCTCCAAACCTCTAATACCTCCTTCACAATCCTTGCTTCCTTTTGTGACCTTGCTTCCTTTTGAACAAAAGATGGAATGACTCGGAAGAAACCTTTCAAATATGCTCATCACTGCATTTTACCCGATAGTGTTCACATAAACTCCCTTCCCTGTTGCTACTTGATAAATCATCCATATTCTCAGCAAAAGCTTTATTTGAATACTAAATCTCATCTTTCTCACCTATTCAATGACATTTTACAAGTGACTCCCTTTTCACTCTGTATCATTTCTATCAGCTTTCAATGTCGTATGCTTTTCTCCATGTTGAATTAAAATCTTTCTTTGATTCACATCCCATTCTAGCTTTTGCCCCAATACAGTGAAATTCTTTGAAAGAGTTGTATGTGCTTGCCCTTATTTGTCTTCTCCTAGACTGTCTTGATCTTATTCTAATCATGTTTTATCCTCACTGTTTTTTTTTTATTTTTAATTTTAATTTTTTTTTTTTTGAATTGGAGTCTCACTCTGTCGCCCAGACTGGAGTGCAGTGGCCACTCCTGGCCACTGCAGACTCGACCTGCTGGGCTCCGGCGATCCTTCCGCCAAGTAACCGGAATTACAGGCACGCACTACCACGCCCGGCTGATTTTTGATTTATTGTAGAGATGAGGTCTCTCCAAGTTACCCAGGCCGGTCTCGAACCCGCGGGCTCAGGCAATCCACTCACCTCAGCCTCCCAAAGGTGCGGGATTACAGGCTGAGCCACCGAGCCTGGCTGTTTTTTTTTTCTTTCTTTCTTTGATTTGGATTCTCACTCTGTCACCCAGGCTGGAGTGCAGTGGCGCGCTCACGGCCACCGCAGCCGCGGCCTGCTGGGCACAGGTGATCTTTCCGCCTCAGTCCTCCAAGAAGCTGGAACTACAGACATGCACACCATGCCTGGCTAATTATTTGATTTATTGTAGAGATGAGGTCTCACCAAGTTGCCCAGGCTGGTCTTGAACCCAGGGTCTCAGGCAATCCTCTTACCTCAACCTCCCAAAGTGCTGGGATTATAGGCGTGAGCCACCACGCTTGGCCTATCTGCACTGTTACTTTTAATCGCAACTCCATCCTTCTAGTTGCCCAGGCCAAAAACCTTAGAATAATCCTTAACTTCCCTCTTTACTCTCACTTCCCATATCTACTCTAAAATCCTGTTGACTTTGCCTTCAGAATATATCCAGAATCCAACATGTCTTATTCCCTCTATCTCCACAGCTGGCCCAACCCACTGTCATCTCTCCTTACTTTTTGCTCCTCATACTAGTTTGCTAAGGCTGCAGTAACAAAGTACCACAAACTGAGTGACTTAAAGGACAGACATTCAATGTCTCACATTTCTGGAGGCTAGAAGTCCAAAATCAAGGTGTCACCAGGATTATTCCTTCTGAGTGCTGTGTGGGAGAGATCTGCTCTAAGCTATTCTCCCTGACTTGTTAGATGGCTGTATTCTCCCTTTGTGCATGTCTGTGTCCCAATTTCCCCTTTTTTGTGAGGAGGACACCAATCATTGGGTTATGACCTCCCTAATAAGTTCATTTTAGCTTGATTACCTCTATAAAGATCCTGTCTCCAAAGAAGGTCACATTCTGAGATACTGGGTGTTAGGACTCTAACATACCTTTTTTTGGGGGGGAAGATACATTTCAACCCATAACATCCCCTGCCGACTGTTTTCAGCACGGAAGCCAGAGCAATCCTGCTAAAACACAAATTGCATCATTTTACTACTCTGCTCAAAATTCTCCAATAGCTCAGTAAAGCCCAGAGTCTTTACAGTGACCTGCAAGTCCCTCCATTGCCTGCTCCCTCCCCTTCCTCTTTGTCCTTCTCTTCCGCTTTGAAAGATAGACAGTCCTGTGTAGTGCTTCAATTCAAGGAGTTTGGACCCTTACTGCAGGGTCAGATCCCAACTTGACATTTACTAGCTATGGGATGTTGAGAGAGTTACTTAAATGTTGTACTTTAGTTTTATCATCTGTAAGATGGGCTTAATAAGAGTATCTACTTCATAGGGTTGTTATGAGAATCAGTATTTGTAAAGTACTTAGAATAGTGCCAGGTGTTATTATCTTAATAGCAAATACTTGTAGCATTTCTCAAGTTCCAGACACTTTTAAGCTCTTTGAGGTATTCATTTATTTAATCCTTATAGCAACCCTATTAGGTAGCTGTTATTTTAGAGCTAAGAAAACATTTCACAGCTTAGGAAAGTTACTTAACTTGCCCAAAGTCACACAGTTAGTAAAGTGGTAGAAACAGGATTCAGTCTAAAGGAGTCTAGGTCTAGAGTTCATTTTTTTTTTTTTTGAGTTGGAGTCTCACTCTGTTGCCCAGACTGGAGTGCAGTGGCCGCTCCCGGCCACCACAGCCTCCACCTGCTGGGCTCAGGCGATCCTTCCACCTCAACCTTTCAAGTAGCTGGAACTATAGGCGTGCGCTACCACACCCGGCTTATTTTTGTATTTATTGTAGAGATGAGGTCTCTGCAAGTTGCCCAGGCTGATCTCGAACCCATGGGCTCAGGCGATCCTCTCACCTCAAAGTGTTGGGATTATAGGCATGGGCCACCACGCCCGGGCTTAGAGTTCATGTTCTTAACCACTACATGATACTGCCCAGTAAATATTATTTACAGAAATTATCACGAATAGTGAATACCTGGTATTGGAAAAAATCTCTCCGTTTATCTGAAAATGTCTATTTGGCCCCTGTTTTTATCTTTTTTTTCTTTCAGTTGAGGTTTCACTCTGTCTTTCAGTCTGGAGTACAGTGACACAATCATAGCTCATCTTAGCTTCGACCTCCTGACTTCTGTCAGTCCTTCTATCTCAGCCTCCTGAGTAGCTGTGACTACAGACACATGCCACCACGCCTGGCTAATTTTTTTTATATATATTAGACTTTCTCAACCTACTCCATATCTTTTGGCTCCTCCTTCACAATTGCCATACTTCTTTGGGTCTCTGCTCTTTGTTTGTTGTGTGAATGTTTATAAGGTTCTTTTCTTGCAGGTTTTGGAGATCATATTCATTGGAGGACACTGGAAGATGGGAAGAAAGAAGCAGCTGCCAGGTACAGCACATGGTTTGGGTCATTCATGGTGGTAAAACACTTTCCAGCAGTCAACTTAATATTAATTTCAGGTGAAGGGCTATGCCACAGGAGAGCAGGAACCGAATAGTTGCCTGATTGCAACAACAGCAACAATTGAGGTGACTACCTTATAGTTGAGCCTTGAACAACATGGGTTTGAAGTGCTCAGGTCCACTTATGCACTGATGTTTTTCAATAAATATATTGGAGAAATTTGTGGAGATTTTTGAAATTTTCAAAAAAAACAAGTGAGCCACATAGCCTAGAAACATATATAAATGTAAATTTTCTAATTATATATATTGTATATTTTATAATTTGTATAAATATATAAATATAAATTACATATATAATTAATACCTTTAAGAAAAAGATATCTCATGAATACATGAAATATATGTAGAAACTAGTTTATGTTATCATTTACATTTGTGTATTATATACATTTGTGTATCATAAAATATACACAAATCTATTATAAAAAGTTAAAATTGAATCAGGCATGGTGGCTCATATCTGTAATCCCACAACTTTGGGAGACCAAATGGGAGAATCATTTGAGGCCAGGAGTTTTTAGAGAAAAAAGGAAATTGAAAAAATTGGCCAGGCATAGTGGCATACCCCTGTAGTCAGTTACTCAGGAGACTGAGGCCAGAGGATCACTTAAGCCAGGAGTTTGAAGTTACAGTGAGCTATTCTTGCACCACTGGATTCTAGCCTAAGCGACAGAGTGAGACCCTGACCCTATTTTAAAAAAAATTATCAGAATTTATGCAAACAAACACTTATAGATCTTACATGGTGCCATTTGCAGTAGGGAGAAATGTAAACAAATGTAAAGATGCCATATTAAGTTATAACTACAGCCAGGCTCGGTGGCTCAACCTGTAATCTGAGCACTTTGGGAGGCCAAGGTGAGTGGATTACCTGAGGCCACAGGTTTGAGACCAGCCCGGGCACCTTGGCAAGATCTCTTCTCTACAATAAAATAAAAAATTAGCTGGGCGTGGTAGGCGGGGAGGTACGTCTGTAGTGCCAGCTACTTGGAAGGCTGAGGTGGAAGGATTGCCAGAGTCTAGCAGGTCAACGCTGGGGTGTCCGTGAGTATGCCACTGCACTCCAGCCTAGGCGACAGAGTGAGACTCCAACTCAAAAAAAAGAAATATATATATATATATATTAGTATACACAGTATGTACTACAGCTAATTTTATACAGTTAACTGTATAAAATTAGCTGTAGTACATACTGTGTATACTACTATATTAATTTTGTAGCAACCTCCTGTTGCTATGGTAGTGAGCTCAAGTGTTGTGTCTATTTAAAATGCCATGTGATGCTAATCATCTCCAGTGAGCAGTTGGTGTCTCCAGTATATTGTAAAGCACAGTAAAAGGTGATCTCTCACAGTTCTTGAGTATTTTTTATGGTAAGTGCAATATGATATAAACCTAGAATAACTATGGAACCCATACAAGGTGTCACTGGTGATGCTAGAAATGCTCCAAGAAGCAGAAAAAAAGTTGATATTATAAGAAAAAGTTGAATTGCCTGTTGTGTGTCATAGATTAAGGTCTGCAGAGACAGTTGCATATCATCTCAAGATAAATGAATCCAGCATAAGGACCATTGTTAAAAAAAAAAAAAAAGGAAAGGAAATTTGCGAGGTTAAAGCCATAGCTATAGGCAAGAACCCTGTACTTTTTACAAAACTTTGCCCCTTTATCTTGTATTATGCAGCCTTTCTGTGGGTGTAGGATTAAGAAAGGAATACCTACAGACTTTAATGTGATTTGAGAAAAAGCAAAGTCATTATATGACAACTTAAAGCAAAAGGAAGGTGAAGGATCTAAAGCTAGAGAATTTAACACCACGAAGGATGATTTGGTAATTTTAGACAGAGGTTTAGCTTTAAAATGTCAAGCTAACAGGAGAAGCAGCTTCTGTTGACCAAGAAGCAGCAGACAAATTTCCAGATATAATTAAGAAAATCATTGGATCAGGCACGGTGACTCATGCCTGTAATCCCAGCACTTTGGGAAGCCAAGGCGGGAGGCTTCCTTGGCCCAGGAGTTTAAGACGCACCTAGGCAGCATAGCAAGTCTTCGTTGTTTTTTTTTTAATTTATCAGGGCATGATAGTGCATGCTTGTAGTCCCAGCTACTTGGGAAGCTGAGGTGGAAGGATTACCTGAACCCAGGAGTTAGAGCTGTGGTGACTCCCATGTGAGAGAGAGGAAAGAGCAAAGAGAGAAGGAGAGAGAGAGAGATATTAAATAAGTCCCAGCTACTTGGAAGCCTAAGGCAGGAGGATCACTTGAACATTTTTTTTATTAGCAAGGAGGGAAGTGAGCACTAGGATTGAAGGCAGGAAGGCATAGGCTAACTCTACAGGTTTGTGCTAATGCGGTCAGATTTATGATCAGGACTGCCCTTATCTATGAAGCTGCTAACTCCTGAGCCTTGAAGGGAGAAAATAAACACCAGCTGCCAGTGTTTTGCTTGTACAACAAGAAGGCCTACATGACAAGAACCCTTTTTCTGGATTGGTTCCAATCATTGATGCTTTGTCCCTGAAGGCAGGAAGTACCTTGTCAGAAAGGGATGCCTTTTAAAGTGTTTGGACACTGTAAAAGGTCAGTGCCCTGGCAACCCAGAATCTCATGAGGTCAATGCCCTGGCATCCCAAAAATCTCATGAGTTCAACACAAAAAGCATCAAAGTGGTCTACTTGCCCTCAAGCACGTCTCTAATTTAGGCTTATGATCAGGGGTCATAAGGACCTTTAAGGTTCATTATTCATAATACTCTCTGGAAAGGATTATCAGCCGTGGAAGAAAACCCTAGTAGAACATCAGGAAAGTATGGAAGGATTACACCACTGAAGATGCCATGGCTGTTACCAAAAAAAACTGTAAAAGCCATCAAGCCTCAAACAATAAATTCATGCTGGAGAAAACCACAGGATTTACGACAGAGAAAATCAGGGAAATCATGAAAGAGACTATGGATATGGCAAAAAAAGCTAGGGGGTAAAATGTCTCAAGATTCTGGAGAAGTTCAAGTGCTAATAGGCACCACACCAGAGGTGTGAAATTAACTGAAGATGACTTGATGGAGATGAGTGCTTTCAAATCAGTGCCAGACGATGAGGAAGAAGACATAGAGAAGCACTGCCAGAAAACAAACTGGACAATTTGACAGAATGGTTCCAATTATTCAAGACTGCTTTTGGCTTCTTATGTCACATGGACCCTTCTATGATATGGGCCCTGAAACTAAAGTAAGGAAGAAGGATTGGTAGTATATAGAAACATTTTTGGAGAAATGAAAAAAATTTAGCAAGTCAGACAAATTTCTTTGTGTTTCCATAAAGTTACACCAAGTATGCCTGTCTGTCCTGCCTCCCCTTCCACTTTCTGCTCCTTTTCTACCTCTGCCATCCCTGAAACAGCAAAACGAACCCTTCTTTTTCTCCTCCTTCTCAGCCTACTCAGTGTGAGCACAAGAAGGCAGGCCTTTATGATGATACACTTCAACCTAGTGAATAGTAAATATATTCTCTTCCTTGTGATTTTCTTTTTGTTTTCGTTTTTTTTTTAGAAAGCAGGATTTATTGAGAGAACAGAAAGCTCCCACAGCCCCACAGTGGGAGAGGACCCAAGGGGGTTGCCCGTGATTTCCTTAACATTTCTTTCCTCTTTAAGAATTTAGTATGTAATACATATAGCATACAAAATATGTGTTAATTGACTGTTATCACTAAGGCTTCCAATCAACGTAGGCTATTAAGTTTTTGAGGCATCAAAAGTTTTACTCAGATTTTCAGCTATGCAGGGAGTTGGCGCCCCTCACCCCAAGTTGTTCACAGATGAACTGCACTAAGGGCTTACTGTGCATCAAGCTTTAAATCCTCACAATTCTTTGAGGTGGATATTGTTAATATCTTTATTTTAGAGATGAGAAAACTAAGGCACAGTTTCCTATGGTAACTTACCCAAGATCACACAGCTATTTTGAGGGGGAACCGAGGTCCGAACGTCAATATGAGCTAGTAAGTGGCAGAGCCAAGATTCAGACCCAGAGGCTCTGACTTAAGAGCCTGCGTTCTCAACCAGTATGCCATACTGCCCACTAGACTCCAGTTGAATAGTCTCAAGTCCCAAGTAGGTTTGGTTTATGCACAGTTTGGTGCATAAGGAGAGGGAAAGGCAGGGCAGGGTAGGAGGTCTGTTTTACATGCATTGATTTGTTTAATCCTCCCAACAACCTACTCTGTTGGTATACCTATGAAATAATTGTTGTCATGTTACAGAAGAGAAAATTGAAGTACAGAAAAATTGTACAACTTGCTATTAGTTACAGTGCTAGTAAGTGGCAGAACCAAGACTTGAATATGTTCTACTACACTATACTGAAGTGACACAAAGACCCACTCCACCATAATATATATCTGTATCTACAGTATACAAACACATGCTTACACATTCACACTTCTGCACCTACTAAACTCTAGTGCTACTGTTCTTAGATGCTACAGTTTCATTGTTCTGGGTCTGAAACCTTCTGGTGGGAGCAGAATTGCCATATTTAGTAATAAAAATAACTATACCCAGTTAAATTTGCATGCTAGATAAACAATAAATAATTTTAATCATATCCGTGCAATATTTAGGACATACCTGTATTAGAATTTTTTGGTTGTTTATTTGAAATTCAAATTTAGCTGGGCATCCTGTACTTCATTTGGAAAAAAAATCCCTATTTTCAGGTTCTAAATCAAATGACTATTACTAAAGCCTTCAGTGATTTCTCTGAATAGTTTGTTTTTCTCTTCTGTTCTTTTGTAACCTCCCCTGTATCTATCATAGTATTTATTACTGTGTTGGTGCCTGATTCCTCCTATTCAGACTCTTGCTCTGTCCAGAAACTGTTTTTGTGTTCATTTCTCAATTCTCAACCATGAAGATGTTGAGTGATTGAAATAGTTATTGGATAAACATACACTGAGAGCCAGGAGGTGTAAGAGGAGTGAAACAACAGCATTTATGAATTGCCTTCTACATGCTAAATAGAGTGCTGATTGTTTTTACAGTATTTAATGTCCATTGAGGCCTCATTCATAGATAGGGATAGTCTTTGGGCGCAGAGAGATCACAGTCTTCTCAGGCCTTTAACATTTGGCATACATAACTGATCACATTCAGTCTCTGCATCTCCTTTCTGAGAAAGCTGGAGCTGGGCCTCCTGCCAAGGACTGTTTCCATAGAAACAAGAGGTCCCGTAAGAGTCAAAGGAGGCGGGAAACGCACCTTGCACTTCCGGTCTGCGCCGGAGACGCGAGTAACCCGGAAGTGGACGCGGCGCGGTTACGTGTGGTCTCTCCCCGGGAGGATGCCGCTGGTGGTGTTCTGCGGGCTGCCGTACAGCGGCAAGAGCCGGCGAGCGGAAGAGCTGCGCGGGGCGCTGGCGGCCGAGGGCCGCACGGTGCACGTGGTGACCGACGCGGCGGTGCTGGGCGCAGAGGACGCCACCGTGTACGGCGACTCTGCTCGTGAGAAGGCGCTGCGCGGGGCCTTGCGAGCCTCCGTGGAGCGGCGCCTGAGCCGCCACGACGTGGTCATCCTGGACTCGCTGAACTACATCAAGGGCTTCCGCTACGAGCTCTACTGCCTGGCGCGGGCGGCGCGCACCCCGCTGTGCTTGGTCTATTGCGTGCGGCCCGGCGGCTGGAGCGGGGGGTCTCGGGTGGCCGGCGCGGAGGAGGACCGGGGCCGGAACGTCAGTGTGAGTTGGAGGCCGCGCCTTGAGGAGGGCGGGAGACCGCAGGCGGCGGGCACTGCTGTCCCAAGGGATCTTCACGCAGCGGGCTCTGTAGTAAACGGAAGAGCCCGGGCCGACGGACCTGAGGAACAGGAGCCGGAGGGAACCGGGGCCACAGATTCTCCCGCTCTCGTGCCTCCAGCATCCGAGAGCTCTGAAAAGCGTGTGCCCAGTGCCTTTTACCCTCTCGAGCTCCTGGAGGCCCTATCTCTGCGCTTTGAGGCTCCGGACTCGAGGAACCGCTGGGATCGGCCTTTGTTCACCTTGGTGGGCTTAGAGGAGCCATTGCCCCTGGCGGAGATCCGGGCTGCCCTCTTCGAGAACCGGGCTCCCCCGCCCCATCAGTCTACGCAGTCGCAGCCCCTCGCCTCCGGCAGCTTTCTGCACCAGTTGGACCAGGTCACCAGCCAAGTGTTGGCCGGACTGATGGAAGCGCAGAAGAGCGCTGTCCCCGGGGACTTGCTCGCACTTCCTGGCACCACGGAGCACCTGCGGTTTACCCGGCCCTTGACCATGGCCGAACTGTGTCGCCTCCGTCGCCAGTTTATTTCCTTTACTAAAATGCATCCTAACAACGAGAACTTGCCTCAGCTAGCCAACATGTTTCTTCAGTATCTGAGCCAGAGCCTGCAACTAACCTGAGAGGGTAGGGGGAAGCCATGACTCCTGTCTAACCCCCACTGCACTTTGTTTCTCTGGGAAGAATGGTCTGAAGGTCTGCGGAGTGTATTGATGGGCTCTACTAGAGCTGTTGGGGCTGAATTACTCAAACTTTCCTGACTGCTTCTGTGCCAGTCCTTAAGTTTACAGCATAAGTTGCTACTAGAGAGAGAGCTTCGAAGATCCTGGCACATTACTGCAGACAACAGAACCCAGTTGGACAGGGATTGCTTAGATTGGATTCTACTTGGGATGTCACACACCGCTGATTTCCCCTCATTTGAGGTGTGGGAAAGCAGTCTGGATGGATGAGAATTGTTTAAAAACAATTGTGAGAAGAAATTGAAGATGGCACAATTTTGGCTGCACCTGCCGTTTTTTTTATGCCACAAACATTTTTTGATTGCCGTGCTTAGTTTTTGCTAATCTCTATTCTGAGACTAGCGGTTTACAGATAAATTCATTGGTTTCTGTTCTTGGGAAGCTTTGGTTTTATGAGAGTGAAAGACATCACCGTTAGATTATTTTCTCTAATAAAATATTTTAAAGAGTCTACCAGAATGTTTTTCATTTAATGTAACTTCGTGTTCTCCATGTAACCTACATAAGGTAATATTTTAGGTACAAAAGTATCACTGTTATAACTTTGACTGAAATAGCATTTTGGTAGTGATCAGTGAAATTCTAGAGGTTTTGATTTAACCTAGAGTAATTATATTATGACAAGTTCCATACCTATTGAGCTTCATTCTGTATTTGAAGGCAAATATCACTGTAAGCTTCTTTCATTCTTTTATTGATTTCATTGGACAAATGGTAGGTATCTAATTTACTAGTGCCTCTGATTTTCAAAGATGAATTTATTACAGTCTTTGCCCTTGATAAACTGGTGAGAAATACAAGTAAAAAGACAATTATAAGCCGGGCTCGGTGGCTCAGCCTGTAATCCCGTGCCTTGGGAGGCTGAGGTGAGTGAATAGCTTGAGCCTGCGGGTTCGAGACCCGCCTGGGCAACTTGGCGAGACCTCATGTCTACAATAAAAATAAAATATCAGCCGGGCGTGGTCGTGCGTGCCTCTAGTTCCAGCTACTGGAAGGCTGAGGCGGAAGGATCGCCAGAGTCCGGCAGGTCGAGGCTGTGGTGGCCGGGAGCGGCCACTGCACTCCAGTCTGGGCGACAGAGACTCCAACAAAAAAAAAAAAAAAAAAAAAAGGGCAATTATAGAATAAAAAGGGCTGGTGGTCAGAGAATGATGACAGAATTGCTTTGGGAACTCAGAGGAGCAGAGGACTAACTAGTTGCTAGGTAAGGTGATTTTGGAAAGACTTTGGAAAGCAGTTAGCATTTGAACCACCAGGCATGGTAGCTCCCATCTGTGATCCCAACATTTTGGGATAATAAAGCACAGCAGTGTCACATAATGAAAGTTCAGTACATTTTGGCTCTTATGGTTGCCTAGATCCCCCTACCCGCTTAAACGTACCCTGCTCATTTTGTTTACAAGCTTTTACGATGAAAGCACAAATCCGTCCCAGATTTGAGGTAGATCTAAGGTGAGGTAGCCGAATAGTTCATTGCACACTTATTAAATGACTTTAATTTATGTATATTTAGAATAGTGCCTGATCATAGTAAATGTTATAACTGGGCATAGTGGCTCGCACCTGTAATACGCACTTTGGATGGATTGCTTGAGCCCAGGAGTTCAAGACCAGCCTGGGTAAAACCTTGTCTCTACAAAAGCAAAAAAAATACAGACACCATAGTAAATCGTATGTAAATGTTTGCTACCAATAATACTGTGTGTGTCAGACAAACGGAGTATAATAGGCAGCTAAGAATTCCTTGTCTTGGGAAACTCCAAGTCCTGTGGAGGGAGATGGATAAATAGTAGTAGATAACAGATCAGTGTGTTAATGCCATGGTAAATGTTACACAGTGTATGGTGTTGTGACATGGGGGTTGGGAGTGGGGAGGGTTGTAATGGAGAAAGCCAATGACTGCCTGCATGGGGCCCTCCTACCAGTTGTCATTTGAGCCTTGAGAGCTTAAGAGCTTCATCTGGCCAACCTAGTTCAGGTAGATAATGTTGCTCATAACAAAACAAAAACAAAACACTTTCCTCCCTATTACAAAAAATTGTATTTAATTATAGGAAAATTGGAAAATGCGGAAGTAGTACAGGCAAACATCCGTAATCCCATCAGCCACAGATAACTGCTATTGTGTTTTAGTGCACTTCCTTTTAGGCTTTTTCCTCTGTACATACATGCCTAATTAAAACCAGAGTATAAATAATTATTTTGTATCCTTTTTTAATATACCAGTTAAAAATTTGTATAAATAATTTCAGTGCTTTTGTAACAATCATTTAGAAATGCTGTGACAATTGGAAGTACGGTAATTGAATTTTTTTTTTGAGTCAAGGTCCCCCTCTGTCACCCGGACTGGAGTGTGGTGATATGATCACAATGATCTTGGCTTACAGCAGCCTTGCTTGACTTCCTGGGCTCAGGTGATCCCTCCACCTCAGCATCCTGAGTAGTTGGGACTACAGGCGTATGCCACACCACCTGGCTAATTTTTTAATCTTTTTGTAGAAAAGAGGTTTCACTATGTTGCCCAGGTTGGTCTCAAACTCCTGGGCTCAAGCAATCCTCCTGCTTCAGCCTCCCAAAGTGCTGGAATTACAGGCATGAGCCACCACGCCCTGTCTTGATGTGTTCTTCCATTCCACAATCTTTTCTCCCAGTTTTAAAGCTCAAATTTGCAGAATTTATAGAAATGTCAGAATTTACCAATAATTTTGTTATGGTAATAACCTATTATTGTCGAATATTTAGGTTGTCTTAAGATGTTCTCAGTTGAAATCATATTATATGAATGTCTTTGAATATTAATCTTTACCTCCATAAACTAGTTGTTTTATTAGAATAGGTTTCAAGAAGTAGAATTACTAGATTATAATTTCTTTGTTTTGTTTTTAAGTGGATTGCCACTGATGGTGATTATCCATAAGTCATGGTGTGGAGCTTGCAAAGGTAAGTGCAAGTGCTCAATCTAAATTCAGACCTCAGAAGTGTAGCCAAATGTTGACACTTAAATAGTAGCACTGGGGCAACCCCCTCAGGTCCCCTCCCACTGTGAGAGCTTTTCTGTCCTCTCGATAAATCCTGCTTTCAAAAAATAAATAAATAGAAGATAGGTAGATAAATAAATAAATAAATAGTAGGACTGACTCTGGCCCAGCTCTACTGATTGTTCTAAGGAATACCAAAGAAATATATGACATAGATTCCCTACCTTCATGAAACTTGCGGTTGTATTTGCAGGGGGGCTTTGGGAGGGTGAGGTGATGAAGATAAAGTTATGTTGAGTATGGGGTTAAGTACTGAAATATCATGGATAATAAACATTAAAGGAAGCTGAAATCATTTACAGTGAGAGACATGAGAAGTGGTTAGGAAAGTCTTCCTGGAGAATGTGGGGACTAAATTAGAACTCAAGGTTATCTGACTGTGGTATGTATTCTTTCTGCTGTACCACCCTGCCACTTTCACAGTCAGGGTTTTTTTTTTTCACTTGGTATGCTATACTTAATAAAATTCTAGTTGGAAAAGGAGTTAAAATTGTATATATAAGTGCCAGAGTATCGTTATTCAATAGAATTTATTAGAATGTGAACATAGAAAAACAAATTGTAATATATATTTTTTTCATTTGTATGCTGTTATCCTTATTTTATAAATGAGGTAATAGCTTCAGAGAAATGAAGTAAGTCTCAAGGTCACATGGCTATGCAGATAAGTGGCAAAATAGATCCACAATCCAGGCATACTAATTCTGTTTAAGAGTTAAAAAAAAAGTTTCAGTCAGGCGCAATGGCTCATGCTTGTAATCCCAGCACTTTGGGAGGCAGAGGTGAGAAGATTACCTAAGTCCAGGGGTTCGAAACTAGCCTGGGTAACTTGGCGAGACCTCGTCTCTACAATAAATTAAAAAATTAGCTGGGCGTAGTGACATGCGCCTATGGTTCCAGCTATTTGGAAGGCTGAGGCGGAAGGATCATCTGAGCCCAGCAGGTGGAGGTTGCAGTGGCCATGAGCGTGCCACTGCACTCTAGCCTGGGTCAAAGAATGAGACTCCTACTCAAAAAAAAAAAAAAAAAAGAAATTTTAGTTATATGAATCAACTCAACAAATGCTTGAACTACCAGATAGAAATAGTAATGTTCATGTTCATCAGAGTTTGGATGTGACAATTATGTTCATGTTCATTAGAGTTTGAATGTGATAATTGTGTTCATGCTCATTAGGGTTTGGATGTGACAGTTATGTTTATGTTAATTACCATTTGGATGTGACAATTATGTTTTCTTCTACTCCAAAATCTTTTTTTTCCCTCTCCTAGCTTTAAAGCCCAAATTTGCAGAATCTACAGAAATTTCAGAACTTGCTCATAATTTTGTTATGGTAAATCTTGAGGTAAGACTTTAAGAATTTCTCTTTTCTGCTCTAATTTTAAGACTTCCCTGTTTTAGAATTAGCATCATTAATAATATGAAAGCATGTTAAGCAGAGCTGGCTACTTGTATATATGTGTTTCTCTCTTGTTAGAAAGTTATCTCATCCAGTATCATCTTTGGGGAGGAAGTAGGAGAGGAGAAATGGAATAAAATGACTAAATTTTAAGATCCTTTCATCCTTAGTTTATGATTATGACATATTTTATAACTTTGTATAGTTGAACTAAAGGTATAATCATATATATATATATATATATATATATATATATATATATATATATATATATATATATATACCGTAATCTCCTGCAAAGTATGATTCCATTGAGTGCCTACTTTGCTAGGCTTATATATACAACCTTCCTGTTTCCTCATGAGATATTCTTTCTGTACTTCATATGGACTACAGGTCTTGGAATTCTGAGTCATAGAATGTCAAGTCTTAGAGTTGGAAGGGATTTTTGGGCCATTGGTGCTATCCCCATTTACAGAAAGAACATCTTAGGCATGAAGGAGGAATGTGATCGGGTCAAGATCTCGGAGCCTAATAAGTGATGGAATAGGTACTCTGAACTGGATTTGCTCCCTTTTAGGCCATATTCTTCAAATATGGGATACTCAGATGTTCTATGATGGTATTTCTAGCCATAAATTTCTGTAAAATATGTTTACTTAAACACAGGACTGAGAATGTTCTGAGCACATTAACAGTTAACATTGAGGCAGCTAAGGGATTGTTTATATAACTAGTGAACAGCCTGAATGCCGATATACCTCGCCAAGGCAAAGTTATATTAAAGTCTGAAGAAATGAACCCATTTAACCCCTGAAAGGGGAACCACACCATAAATTATAAAATTATTGTTGATGTTCCCTGTACCTAAACTTCTCATCACTTTTTATGGTAAATTAGGATCCCTACTCAAAGGAGACAGAAATAACATTTTCAGTGAGCATTCTCTAACTTTGGAAATTGCTTAAGAAAATCAATTATGTGGTTTATCTCTTGAGAGGACTGTGACTCCACAATTGTAGCTAAAATGCCAGGCTCATTAATTCATGTATTCAAAAAATAGTGTGTGCAAATCAGTGATATAGATACTAGGCATACAGCAGTGAACAAAACAGACAAAATTCCTTTATCGAAATAACATTCTAGTGTGGGGAAACAGACGAACTAATGCATAAAATAAGATACAAGAGGGGACCCCCAAAAAAAGAAATTCTCTTTTGGAGGGCAGGCCTCTTGTAATACAAGCTTCCCCCACTAGGTAAGTATTCTAGGAACTCATCAGCATCAGGTATCAGCTAATGTTGTTTTATGAGAGACTGTATTCAGCTTCAGTGAATTTTTTTTGGAGATTCTTTCAACTCATTTTCCCATTTCATGTTGGGTGATTTACAAGTGCACTTGCCCACACTGCTATGAGTGTTCAGTAGTTTTGTTTTATTTTGTTTTTTTTTTTGTTTTGTTTGCCAAAAACGGCATGACTCCTGTGCCCCACCCTCTCTGTTCACCTGATCTTGCCCTAGCAACTTTTTTTTGTTTCCCTGGATGGAAAAGTCCTCAAAGGGAAACATTTTGCTGATGTGGAAGAGGTGATACAAAAAACATCAGAAGCACTAAAAGACATCAAAACTGTTTTGAGCAGTGGAAAAAGCATCTTGATAGGTATATTGCATCCAACGAAGGGTACTTTGAAGGTGACTGAAGTTTATTTTATTTATTTATTTATTTTTGTTTTTGACTTGTTGTCTCACCCTGTCACCCAGGCTGAAGTGCTGCAGCCTCAACCTGTTGGGTTCAGGCAATCCTTCTACCTCAGCCTTCCAGTAGCTGGATTGCAGTCATCCACCACCACACCTAGCTAATTTTTTTATTTTTGTGGGGACATGGTCTTGCCATGTTGTCCAGGCTGATCTCGATCTCTTGGACTCAGGCAATCTTCTCACCTCGGTCTCCCAAAGTGCTGGGATTACAAAGGTGAGCCACTGTACCTGGCCATGAAGTTTAAATGTGTAAGAATAAATACACAATTGCTTATAAATAAATTCTGGTTTTTTGGGGGAATCCCCCTCATATGTCGGATGGTAGTAAATGCTATGGCTAAAAATGAAGGGTGGAGGAGATGGTTGCAGTTTCAAATCAGTGGTTAGAAAAGGAAGTGACATTTGTGCAAAAGTCTGAAGCAGAAGAGGGAATGAGCTGTGTGGATAATGGGGAAATGTGTCCAGGCAGAGGGTGAGCACATGCCTGAAAGCCTGAGTTAGGACATGCCTGGCTTGTTGAGTGACAGCCACGGCAGGCAGGCCAGTATGGCTGAAGGGGACCAAACAAGAGCTAGGATATGAAGTTAGAGAAGTGCCTAGGTGGCAGATGATGTAGGGCCTTGTAGGCCACTGCAAGGACTGAGAGTCTTGCCCTGAGCAAGAGGGGAAGGCCCTGAAAGGTTTTGAGGAGAAGAGGACGCAACCTGACTTAAGGTTTGCATTTAATCATAATAGGATGAAGAGGAACCCAAGGATGAAGATTTTAGCCCTGATGGGGGTTATATCCCACGAATCCTTTTCCTGGGTAAGGCACAGAATGTTCGTCTGGGGATCTGTGATGTGGCTGGAGAGGGAAATGAATCAAAGCACTGCCTTCACCTAGTGCGATTGTACTGGGATGGCCAAAGCTAAAAACAAAGACCAATTTCAAGAGAGAGTGGGGAGTTCTGAATGCCAGAACTGCAGGTTTGAAGGACGACTTCCTGTTAATTAACTGCTTCTGTGAGCAATGACATGAGTTTGATCATTTATTCATTCAGCAGTCACTTGAGCATCAGCCATATGCCAGGCACTATGCTAGGAACTCCAGGGATAGAGATAAGCCCCAGTTCCCACCCCTGACCCTGTAGTGCAGTTGAGGCAATGGAATAGTATAACTAGACAAATGTCTTTCTACAAATAATTATATAAGAGATATTTAATGACTAGCTAATCTTTGCTCAGCATCAATTCTGTTAGACCTTATGAGGGATATAAATTAAAAATCAAGCAGAAAAGGAAGTGGAAATGCAAGGGGTAGGTTGGTGAGATAAAATGGGCTGCAAAGATGAGCAGGTCTCGTTTCCCAGAGGGCCTAGTGTCCCATATGGTGTTTGAAGTACCTGTCTGTTGTAATTACTGCAACACCCTGTGCCATTCTGTCTGTACCAGATCCCAGTGGCAAGGTGCGTCCTGAAATCATCAACGAGAGTGGAAATCCCAGCTATAAATATTTCTACGTCAGTGCCGAGCAAGGTACAGTTACGCTGAGAGAAAGGAGGAAGGATTGCTACTAGGTTTCACTAGGGTATATGATAGGAAAATTATTGCCACTTGTCAGCTGAACATTTCCTGCATGTGTAGCTTTTGGCTAGACCCTGTACAGGATATAGGAGAAAGGTAAGACTGAGCTTCTTTCCTAGCTACTTAAAGTCCAGAGGAAGAGCTGCTTGACCCATAGGAAACTGAAGAATTGAGGCTCACAGAGATAGTCGCTTGCCCATGGTCTCAAGCCACAGAGCCGGGATTTGAGTCCAGAACTGATTTTTTCCCCAATGCACAAATGCTATTCTTCCTATAAGAAGTCAGAGGAAGAGGCCAGGCGCAGTTTCTCAAGCCTGTAATCTGAGCACTTTGGGAGGCCAAGGCAAGTGGATTGCCTGAGCCTGTGAGTTCGAAACCAGCCCGAGTAACTTGACGAGACTTTGTCTTTACAATAAATAAAAAAAATAAGCTGGGCGTGGTAGCGTGTGCCTGTAGTTCCAGCTACTTGGAAGGCTGAGGCAGAAGGATCACCAGAGCCCAGCAGGTTGATGCTGAGTGTGCCATTGCACTCGAGCCTGGGCGATGGAGTAAGACTCTGACTCAAAAAAAAAAAGAAAAGAAAAAACAAGTCAGAGGAAGGGTAATACTGCTTGCTGAACAAGTCTAAAAGATTTCGTAGATGTTAAACTTTAACTCTACCTACCTAGAAGAGATAAGAATTTGTCTCTGGACAGATAGAAGGAGGACATTTCAAACTATGGAAGCGAGGCAGAGGGAGGATGTAACCCAACATAGAGAGGTTGTAAGAGAAATGAAAGTGGATTAAGTGTTCAGAATGAGACCTGGTCAGCAGCAGAATGGGGAAAGCATGTTCCAGGCAGAGAGAACAACATCAGCACAAACAGGTGAAGGAAAGTTGAAAGCATAAGCCATTCATGTGTTTTTGGTCTCTAATCTTTGAACACAGACATTCTGGATGGAATTCATGCCATGTATTGTCACTGTTTTCCTTCTTTCCTCCCGATCTATAAAAGGGAGTTGTTTGCTAAGTCGCCATGTGTCCCCTTTTGCCATGCTGCCATATGGATCACGTGATGATTTGAGTCTTTGGAACTCTTATTCTCAGACTAGGGAGGGAGAAGAGATTAGAGATGTTATCACCTCCTTCCCATGAATAAGAAGAATATCATGTTCCTTAACCAAATACAGATCACTGGAGACTGATATTAGAAGGAAACTTTCTATATGGAGAAAGGCAGCTGGGCTTTAGATCTCTAGTTCTTGTACCTTGAGATTCACCTTCCCTCTAGGATTTCATCCAGTTACCTCTGCCACACTGGTGCAGTCCAAATGTGAACACAAGATCCTCTCCTGAATCCCCTGCAGCTCAGCTGACTTAAAACTGGAACACTCAAACCTGGCTTTACTAAAGGCATAGGCAAAAACAAGGGAAGTAACAGACTATGCTGTCTGGCTCTTATGAGCTTATGGGTTTGCTTTGCAAGGTTCGTGACTTAGGTTCACCCCAGCTCCTGGCCTGCCATTGTATAGGGGTGCTAGTGTGGTGCCACCACTCAGGAGCTTATGCCAAAGTCACTGTCCTCTGGAAGGCTCAGTTCATAAGAGGGATGCCCCCAGATAGATAAGAAGTTTCTTCTTCAGTCTACCTAAGGCCATCCTTCTGGCTTTCTCTCTTTTTTTTTTTGTCTGAAAACTTGGCTTCTTCCATGTTTAGTTGAACCGGGAAATGACCACCCCGTTCAGTGATCATCTCCCCTCTCAGCACACACAAACACTTACACACACGTACATATCACTGTAACCTGTAACCTCTCCAAGAAATGAAATAAATGCAACCTGCATCCAAAAGATGCAATGGGGACGGCAGGAAGACGGTCCTTCTTCTCTTAGTGTCAAGTGAGCATACACAGGCTATGCTAGGGGATCAGCTCTAATCGTAGAGGGCCAGCCAAAGGAACTGCTGACGTTTTTGTAGGACTTCATAGTTCATAAAGCACTTTATTATCTATGATCTCATTTAATTTTTGTGATAATCTTGTGTGAAGTAAGTTGCATTATCTAATTTTCTAAATGAGGAAACAAATTCAAAGAGATAAATGACTTGCTGTGGCTAAAATTCAGAACTAAATCTTGAGTCCAGATCTTGTACTTCTCTCATTTTTCTCCTAATACATTAAAAAGTTTACATTGGCTATTAAATGCCAAATATTAAAGACCTATGTCATACTTCCCCCCATCCTTTATTTCACAGTTGTTCAGGGGATGAAGGAAGCTCAGGACAGGCTGACGGGTGATGCCTTCAGAGAGAAGCATCTAGAAGATGAGTTGTAGCATGGATATATCCCTTCTTTCATCAGAGTTCATGTTCTGGAAGGAAAGCAGCAGGAAAGTGAATACCCAGAACAATTAAACCAACCAGGAAACCTCGCTCCTACCTATACGGGAAGGAGCTCTCTCACTGTGGAAGAGTTCTGCTGTCAGAAACTGGTCTGCATGTTTGTGGATCCAGCAGAGTATGGCAGACTTTCTTTCCCTGCTCCCTCTCACCTAAATGCCAATTTGTCATTGAATGTAAAGAATGAAACCTTTTGACACCAAACTTGAGCCTCCCACTTCACTCACCTTGGTGGTGAAAGGGAACCAGTAGCATCTTTTCTGCAGTGTTCAAATTGCAGAAATAGCTTATCATTAAAAAAAAAAAAATCCTAAATGTAAATCAGTAATTCTAACCCCTACCAAGACCAGCCTGTGTTTTCTGTTTTTCCTCTGGGAATAATTGTGGGCTTCTTCCCAAATCCCTGCACTCCTTCCTCTCTGCTTGGACATCCCTGTTTGCACTCATGCATGTGCAGGAGTGTCTGGGCTTGAACTCACCTCCAGCTGGAAGCATGCTTTCCCTTGTTACTGTTGGAGAAACTCAAACTGTCAACTCTAGGTTTCACCATTTTGTCAGGTCATCAACTGTATTTTTGTACTGGGGTTAACTAAAAAAAAGATAAAATATTGATTGTTCCATTAAACTTTAATAAAACTTTAAAAGGAAATGTGCTGTGGTGGCTTTTTTGTTACTGGAGAATGGAGAGAAGGATGGAGATCACTTCAGAAAAAAACTAACCTTGAAGACCTAATCAAGGAGTCGTAACCTAAGATTCCAGCTCCTTCACCTTCCACATTCAAGTGAGCACCAGGGCTCGTCTCTTTTACTTGTTAAATATCCAGAATTTCCTTTTTTTTCTTTTAACCTAGCTGCAGGTATTCCTTAACAAGGAAGGCTTTTTATTTTTCATATATTTATTGCTACAGCCCCTTAACCTGCCCACTGCCTCTAATAATCTCTTGTTCTACAATCCATTCTGCTTCCCCTAGAGTGATCTTCCCAGGACACAAATGTGACCATGTCCCTCCTCTGGGTAAAACCTTTCCTGCCACCTTTTTTTTTTTTTTTTTGAGTTGGAGTCTAACTCCATTGCCCAGGCTGGGGTACAGTGGCACGCTAATGGCCACCCCAGCGTTGACCTGCTGGGCTCCGGCAATCCTTCCACCTCAGCCTTCCAAGTGACTGGAACTACAGGTGCGCGCTACCATGCCTGGTTAATTTTTTATTTATTGTAGAGACAAAATCTTGCCAAGTTTCCCGGGCTGGTCTTGACCCGTGGGCTCAGGCAATCTCCTTGCCTCGGTTTCCCAAAGTGCTGGGATTACAGACTGAGCCACTGAGCCCAGTCTTCTGCCATTTTTAAGACAACAGTATTAACATCAGGAAGTATTCAGACCTCTGGATGTACCAGGCACCCTCCTAAGTGCTTCAGTTTCCCTTTAGTCCTCCCCACAGCCCTGTGAGAAAGGTACTGTTGTAATCCTCATTTTACAGAAGAATTAGAAATATGAGGAAACTAAGATACAGGATGAAGTCAAGATCTTTACCATGGCCTTTAAGAAGCTACCTACTCCCTCAACTTCATTTGTTCCCATTCATTCCTTTGCATTTTGTGTTCCGGTGACATAAAATTGCTTTGTTTCCCTGGCAACATGCTGTTTTATGCTTTTGTGTGTTTGCTCATCTTGTCTCCTCAGCCTAAAAACATGTTTTCTTTCTATTCTTCCTTCATAACCCATTTTGAGCCACCTCTTCCAAAGTCTGTCCTTTTTCATAAGGATAAAATGCCCTTCACCTAATACATCTATCCTAGCCCTGCACCATATATTGAAGTAACCTATTTGCACATCTGTGGCTGTCATCTCGTGGCAATTCCGGACAGAGCCTTTCCTCTACCTGGTGTACCAGGGTCCTAAAGTCATACACTTTCAAGTGACTTGCCAAGCTCTATGGGAGGTTCTTTTCATCCGTTTTATAAATACGATTTTTTAAAAAATGTAGTATTTATTATTATTTTTAGTTAGTGTCTCATTCTTGCCCAGGCTAGAGTGCAGTGACACAGTCACAACTACTGCAGCCTCAGCCTGCTGGGTTCAGGCTATCCTTCTGTCACATCCTTCCAAGTAACTGGAACTACAGTTGTACGCCACTGCACCTGACTAATTTTTTTATTTATTGTAGAGACGAGGTCTCGCCAAGTTCCCAGGCTGGTCTCGAGCCTCTGGGTTCAGGAGATCTCTCTTCCAGCTCTCAAAGTGCTGGGATTACAGGCATGAGCCCTGGCGCACAGTCTCTAAATACTATCAATAGTCTGGTGGGATAGGTGTTAGCCTCACTTTATGGAAGAGGGAGATTCAGAGAAGGAAGTGGCAAGCTCTCAGCTTCTAGACTATGTAAATTCTGGATTCTGACTACCCGTCTGATAACAAACTAATGCTTTTCTCACATTACTTCTTTTGTGTTCTGATATGTGGCCCATTGGAACAGGAGTTTTTAATCTGTGGTATGTAAAGACTTTACAAGGAATATATGGGGTCTGGCAATTAAGTTTGTGAACTCATCCTAGAAAAAGGTGCTACATACCTCATTGCTGAATATCACTACAGTTACCTCTGAAGTACTCCTCTTGGTAAGTTGTGTACTGATGCCACTGCCTAGTCCACCCATCAAAGCAATTTTGGAAGTTTTTGGAATGGCCATCAAAGCTGTCATATTATCTTGATGTCCTGAATGTCATCAGAATGTCTTCCTTTCAATATTTCTTTTATCTTCAGGTAAAGAAAAAAATCATCGGGGGCCAGATCAGCTGAGCATTCTAGAAATCTAGGAATAAATTTACTATAGTTTCTGTGCCTATACATGGTCTGACAATTAAGTTTGCAAACTATATTGGGTGTTCCAATATAGTTATTTGTTTACTGGCTCCAAACTCCCTCACAGCACTATGTGAGCTGGTGCATTGTCATGCAAGAACTCTTTCAGGACCATTTTTACACATACCTTTCTCATGCCAAGGTTTTCACTTAAGATTTTCCTAACTATTTATCTCAATGTTTATTTGGTCTGCTATGCTTCTCAGTCAGCCAATGATTTTGATGCACAATTTGACAAATTTTTGCAATGTTTTCATCAGTTCTGCTGGTTACTGACTGTCCTAACATCCACTGGTGACACTTTCCTCTTAGAAAAACGTTTAATCCATTTGTACACTACCGTTTTTTTCATGACATTATCCCCTTAAACTTGGAGTCATGTGTTCCTTATTTCACTTCCACTCTTGCCAAGTTTAATAAGTAATGTTTGTTACACTAATTCAAGCTCCAACATTCTCATGACAGCACACCAAAACATGCAGCAACAATAATGAATGCCACTCAGCAAGACACCACCACACATCAACTCGAGCACAGCTGTGAGACGCTGATATACCAAGGTTATGAAACTGTACCAACTTGTTTGTAGTCCTGCCAATGTAAGTGCATGGTGGCAAGTTTGCAAACTTAATTGTCAGACCATGTATAGGCACAGAAACTATAGTGAATTTATTTCTAGATTTTCATCTTCTTAGAAGTTATTTCCCAGGATTCCTCAAAAAAGTGAAGATAGATTACAATAGGATCCAGCCATTTCACTTGTGGGTATATACACAAAAGAATTGAAAACAGAATTGTGAACTGATATCTGTACACCTGTGTTCAATTATTCACAATAGTCAAACCGTGGAAGCAATCCAAGTGGCCATTGACAGATGAATTGGTACACATGATGTGTAATATACATGCAATTGAATATTATTAGCTTTAAAGAGGAAAGAAATTTTGACATGTGCTACATCATAGATGAACCTTGAAGATATGCTAAATGAATAAAGTCAGACATAAAAGGACAAATACTGTATGATTCCATTTATATGTGCAACCTTAAATAGTCAAATTCATAGAGACAGAAAGTAGAATGGTGGTTGCCAGGGGCTGGGAGGAGGGTGGATGTGGAGTTAGTGTTTAATGAGTACAAGAGTTTCAGTTGAGAAAATGAAAGCCGGGTTTAGTGATTCACGCCTCTAGGAGGCAGAGGCCAGAGGATTGCCTGAGCCCAGAGGTTTAAGACCAGCCTGGGCAACTTGGAGAGACTTCATCTCTACTGTAAAATCAAAAAATTAGCTGGGCGTGGTGGCACATACTTGTGGTTCTAGCTACTTGGAAGGCTGAGGCAAAGAATGGCCTGACTGAGTAGGTCAAGGCTGCGGTGACCATGACTGTGTCACTGCACTCCAGCCTGGGTGACAGAGTGAGGCTCTGACTCAAAAAAAAGAAAGAAAATTAAAAAGTTCTGGATACAGATGGTGGTGATGGTTACAAAACAATGTGAATGTATTTAACACTACTGAACTGTACATTTAAAACTGTTTAAAAGTATAAATTGTGTGTATATTTTATCACAACAAAAAAATATAATTTCCCAGGGAATGTCATCAGGATATTTAGTTCCCACCTTCCTTATCATTATTAACCTATTCCCACTTCACAGACAAAAAAAATACATACCTCTGATTCACCTTGAATTTTAATACGGTGCATTCCCCTACTATATAAATGCCACTGGGGCACCAAATAAGAAGGAAACTGAAATATTACTAAGCTTCCTTGATGGGAGGCTTTTAGTCTTGTACTTATTTCTGTCCTAAGCATAGTTCTCAGTTTGTACCATTTGGAGATATTTTGAATTCAGCTGCAGTAAAATGAAAGTGATGAAAATTTGCTTCTTCCAATCCCCGACTTTTTTTTTTTTTTTTTTTTTT